GTAGTGCTGTCACAGCAAGGAGGTCGCTGGTTCAAGCCTCGACTGGGTCAGTTGGTGTTCCTGTGTGGAGTTTGCATGTTCTCCCTGCCTTCGCGTGGGTTTCCTCCGGGTGCTCCGGTTTCCCCCACAGCCCAAACACATGCGTACAGGTGAATTGGGTAGGCTAAATTGTCCATAGTGTATGACTGTGATTAAGTGTGTATGGAAGTTTTCCAGAGATGGGTTGCAGCTGGAAGGGCATTCGTTGCGTAAAACATATGCTGGATTGGCGGTTCATTCCGCTGTGGCGACCCCATTGATTTTGCAATTTATTGTGAATTTATTGTGTTTGGTTCTCCTGTGTCCCCTGTTCCTCTTGCTGTACCAATGCAGCAGCTGCTTCACGTAAAAGCTGACTAACAGTTTTTGCCATTTTACCTCTGTTATACTGTATTTACACTAGTAACTCAGGCTGTCCCATCCATCAAAACCGTGCTTCTGCCCTCAGGCTCTGTGTATGAAAGCACTCGACGTCACTTGAATACGCCCCTCCCACTGATTAGCATAGGCTTTGCATACAGCTTTAGCTGAAAATGAAATCGAAAATGAAAAAGTGTCAATAAAAGGAAAGCTTATATTTACATTTTCATTTGAATTGTGTCACTATTATAGCGTGAACATTAATAACACGCTTTGTAAAAATTATGTTTGCATTTTATTTTTTAGTTTGGCTTTTTATTTTAATATTGGCAGTCTTGACGTGGAAATTCAGTGAAAATGAAATGTTATATTGGCAACTTCATTTTAATTATCAATTTGACAGGGACGATGTGTTGTCAAAGTGAAAATGAAAATGAAATAATTTCATTTCCTTTTCAATTTTGGCAGATATTTTGCGCACAGTGTTTTAAAATTAAATTGTTAATCTGATTTTCATTTTCATTTCCAATCTTTATTTGATTCATTTAAAATTGGCAGGATTTCCCTTCCATACAGATCAAGGGCCTGTTTCAGAAAGGAGGTTAACTGAAAACTCAGAGTATTTTAACCCTGAAATGAGAGAAACTCTGGGTTTTCCGTTTCAAAATGGCAGGTTTGTTAAACTGGAGAAATCAGGGTAAGTCAAGCCTGTTTCTGAAAGAGAGTTAACTTTAACTCAGAGTCAGTTACTGTGGTCACTTACTCTGTGAATCTAACCTGGTCAGAAGCAGGTTTTATTCTCTAAACTCAGAGTTTCTGTCGGTCTCCTCCCCTTTTTTAAAGATGCAGCGGTATTTCTCGCCTTAGCCTTACATTTCCACACACCTATTTTAATGCTCATTTTGGATACGTGCATAAAAACGATTGATAGAAACGTCATGATGCACATAACTTTTTAAAATATGCATAAAAAACGCACATAACTGAGTAGGATAAACTTTTATTCAATAGAAAATGTGCGCATAAACTACGATGGTAATGATATTTGGTGCCAGTTTAATCAGGAAGTGACAATTTTTTTCTCTTTGACTCGTAGGATGGAATTTTATTTGCTTCTTTTAATATTCCAGTTTTGCACATACATTTATGTAATATATTTGGATGGAAACATAGCTATTGCCTACATTTTAGTCACACACAGAAGAACTGTACGAGAATGGCTTATGCTTTAATAAATAATTAAATTGAATCCACCTTCGATATGCACTGTAACTAGATTAATGGGATTATTATTCTTTCTAAAAATTATTTTTAGTCCTGCTTACCTTCTAAATGTTATATTAGCCTCTATCACTTGATCAATAAAAAAGGCAGACACACAAGTGCACTATTAAATCATTTAAAACTAATAAATGTATAAAAAAGTTTAGAAAAAAATATAAAACATCACAAATTACATTACTTATTTTATTATACTTAAATATTTAAATACTTAAAAAGTGAAATTAGGCATTAACTTGAGCAGCTGTTTTCCCACGCTAACTGTCTCTTCTTCACTGATGGCTGCTTCTTTTCAAATATATACGCTCATATTTGCTATAACTTTGCATGAGAACATCAAGTTCAGCTGGAGAAAGAAATGCTGATCTCTTTTATAACATATTGTCATAGTCACTCGAAATGTCTGCGCTCCATTGATAATGCCTTTTTATAGTCACGGTGTGCGCGCTTAACTCTGAGTTGGTCTACTCGAAGTTGATTGACCCAGCTCAGATCAGCTGTTCTGTAACCGAAAACTCTGAGTTTTTAATCTCTCGGTAAATCAACTCAGAGTTCAAGTTTAAACTCTGAGTTGTTTGAACCTCCTTACTGAAACAGGCCCCAGGTTTCGGTAGATACTCAAAATTAAATGACTCTAATACATCCCTAATTGTGACTGATTTTTCCCATAATCCAGTAGCCCTACATGAGGAAATTGTGTGTAATCCAGCATTTTTACAGTGTAGATTTACGCTCAGATACAGATTGTGTACAACAGCATTGCCCAAGAATGCTTCTGAAAGAGTTTAAAGAAAGCAGGAGAAGAAGAGCAGCGTCAGAGAGCTGAAAACAGAGGAGTTCCAGCTGGCATCAAACATGCATGAGGCTGAACACAGGAAGTGACATGCGGCTCTGGGGAACGGGAGGCTTTTCCAGGACAGTCTTTATTTGGAGAAAAGAGCTGAACAGCCTGCTCAACATGCTTTTAAGGGAACAAAAGTCACTTAGGAGACCAGAACCCAACGAACTGACCTGAAGTAGAGCTGCTGTTTCATTAATCCTCTCGTGATCTAAACACTAGCTGTGTTTCTGTTGACCTATTCTCATGTGCATTTCGCATCAGTATCTGCGCTTCAGTGGTTTAGTTTCTGACAAATGCTGATCAGATATAAATGTGTGTGACGGTCTTTCCATCATTGATGTTGGTCTGCAGCTCTCCATGTTTGCAGCTTTCCACTGTTGCAGATGTGAGATGTTGTTGTGCTGATTGTAAAAGGCCTAAGCCCCCCTGTCAGTCTGTCATCACAGTGCTTCAGTAATATTATTATTCCCTCCAGAACTGTCTTGAGCATCTGTCTGTGCTCCCGTCTCACGCCTCCAAAAGCCACACTCTGAAAAACACAGGGTTGAAAACTACCCAAATCGGGTTGTTTTTAACCCTACTGCTGGGTAAATATGGGACAAAACACATCAGAGGTTTAATTACCCCAAGTAATTGGGTTATTGTTTTTAACCCCATAAATGGTTTGTTTTTTCTACCCAATAATTGGTTATTTTTACTTAAATAATAGGTTAATTTAATCCAAAAATGCCTGTGAAAGATGACCCAGCAATTGTGTTTTGACTCGGCATCACTGAAGTACGGTGGTGGATGTGCAACTTTGATTACAGGTGTACAAAAGGTAGTAAGAAATTATTTCAGAATGGACTAAGGGCTGCTATGGGCATGAATCTCATTTTAATCATCTGAAAACGCAAGGAATCTGTGTTTATGTTACACTATTTTATTGCATTTAAATAAATTCGTACACAATATGTGGTCTCCCAGTCAGCCCCTGCTATGAGTTGATTTGACCCAAAGAGCTGGGTTGAAACTAGCCAAGACTCTGAAAATAACCCCCAAAAAATACCCAAATGCCTCAACCCAATATTTGCATAGAAAAAAATAACCCCATTTTTTTTTTTAGAGTGCATTCACCGCGTTCGTTGCACAGCTCAGTTATTAGAGGAGAACAAACAGCACAGTGGAGAATCCCAACAGTGCAGCAGACTCCACTCCTCTCAGTGATATCTGTGCAGGAGCAGCAGGAGCTGAGGAGGTGATGCTCGTCTGTTTCTCTGGAAACGCTGCTTCTTTAGCTAATATTTTATGAGATCTTCCAGCTTTGTGCATGAATTTAATTTGCATCTTTGGATGGAAACATAGCTAATGAGGCAGGTTTAGAAACAAAACAACCACTTTGTTCAATACTGTGCAGCTCTAGCACTCAATCCCATAGTAGGAGTCGGTGTGTCTGTTTCAGGTAACAACAAAAACAAGTTCAACCTGAAACTCGGCGTGAACATGCCGACATGTGGAGTCTCGTTCCCCCTGCAGATATTTCCAGTGCAGGACAATAGGAGAGAGCAGGTCAGGGGAAATAAGACACCGAAGATCTAAAATAGCCTGTAATTAACAACAGCTGCTGCTGCTCCGATACAATAGAGCACATTACTGCAACACTGCATGCTTGAGCTACAGCTAGAGCTGCAACTAGTCATTTAGATGATGATTATTTTACTGATAATTTGATTAATCTAATAAAACCAAATACTTTTTTTAAAAGGATGCATAATATGCAATATACACTCACTGGCCACTTCATTAGGTACACCTTGATAGTACCGGGTCGGACTCCTTTTCCCTTCAGAACTGCTTTAACCCTTGGTGGTGTAGATTCAGCAGGGTATTGGAAATATTCCTCAGAGATTTTGCTCCATATTGTCATGATAGCATCACACAGTTGCTGCAGATTTGTCGGCTGCACATCCATGATGCCAATCTCCCGTTCCACCACATCCCAAAGCTGCTCTATTGGATTGAGCTCTGGTGACTGTGGAGGCCATTTGAGTACAGTGAACTCATCGTCATGTTCAAGAAACCAGTCTGAGATGATTGAGCTTTATGACATGCTGCGTTATCCTGCTGGAAGTAGCCATCAGAAGATGGAGACACTGTGCTCATAAAGGGATGGACATGGTCAGCAGCAATGCTCAGGTAGGCTGTGGCGTTGATGCTCAATTGGTACTAATGGACCCAAAGAAAATCTCCCCCACACCATTACACCACCACCACCAGCCTGAACCGCTGATACAAGGCAGGATGATCCATGCTTTCATGTTTTTGAGTCGAGCATCTGAATGTGTCAGCAGAAATGGAGACTCATCAGAGCAGCAACGTTTCTCCAATCTTCTATTGTCCAGTTTTGGTGAGTCTGTGTGAATTGTAGCCTCAGTTTCCTGTTCTTAGCTGACAGGAGCGGCACCCGGTGTGCTCTTCTGCTGCTGTAGCCCATCCGCCTCAAGGTTGGCCGTGTTGTGTGTTCTGTTCAGAGATGCTCTTCTGCAGAGCTCGGTTGTAGCGAGTGCTTATTTAAGTTACTGTTGCCTTTCTATCAGCTGGAACCAGTCTGGCCATTCTCCTCTGACCTCTGGCCTCATCAACAAGGCATTTGCGCCCACAGAACTGCCGCTCACTGGATATTCCCTCTTTGTCGGAGCATTCTCTGTAAACCTTTGAGATGGTTGCGCGTGAAAATCCCAGTAGATCAGCAGTTTCTGAAATACTTGGGAGCAAGAACCATGCCACGTTCAAAGTCACATAAATCCCCTTTCTTCCGCATTCTGATGCTCGCTTTGAACAGCAATAGATCGTCTTGACCATGTCTACATGCCTAAATGCATTGAGATGCTGCCATGTGATTGGCTGATTAGAAGTACAGGTGTACCTAATAAAGTGGCCGGTGAGTATGCCATTACAGCTGTAGTTGAATAAAATGCAACTCTTCACTTTTGAACAAATTGACACGGTGTGACGTGGTTCCTGTATTCTGTACCACACTATATTGAATATTGGGTTTGAAATTGCATGCAAGTTTGATGCCAAACAACATTAGCACAACTGAATAGACTGTAAACAATGCTGTACTTTGATAGTAATTGGCTGCTAATGTTATTTTCCCATTTAAAAGTTGCAAAGAATACTTTTCTAAAATTAAATTATTAATAAAGCATGAATGTGAGAATATAAAACTAACTTTACCCCAAATACATGATGGTCACTGCACACAAGAGCAAAGTGCATGTTTGGTTAATGCAAAACGACAAGCTAGACTGGTTTTCCCCACCCTGAGAGCGGTTGTATGCATGTGTAATCATCCTAGCCACTGCAGCAGAGTATTTACATGTTGAAACACACAGAGAACATTGACAGTGGGTTAATGATTAAATATTTATCTCCCCTTTGAATGCATGCAACTTCTGCTTTTCACTCTTTAAACACACTGACCTGCTCTAAAAGTCTAGAATCATCAGTCATAAACATGACTGTGAGAATTTAACACTCATTCTGTGTCCACAGCAATGCAAACGATGAGGAAAGCACTGATAAACAATGCCGCGCTGGACTGTTTATACACGTGTGCGCATGCGCGGCTCCTTCCCAGATTAACCGAAGTACTTATAAAACCGAATCAACCGTAGGATAAATACTTATAAAACTATATTAATGTCTTGTTATAGCATTGTTGTTTTGGTAAACTGAAATAAAACCACCTTTTATGTGTTAGATATGCCATATATTAAACATAAAATGTCGTTTTACTTAATTTTATCAATCAAAGTTCCTCTAACAAGTTTTATAGGTATTTACATGTAATATAGTTTTATAATTTGATTTTTCGTGAATATCATATACGCTATTGATGCCAAACGATAGCGTTTCAGATTACCAAACAAAATTGTATGCATAGTTACGAGTATTAGGACCACAAATATAAACAAAACTAATTAATAAGTGGCATTATAGCTGATAAGGGCTGGAGGTTTGTCGAAGTGACTCGGACTCTCTGAAGTGAATGAAAGGTGTGTGTTAAAGGGATTTAGTCGTGTTTATTCTTACCTGGCTGTTCCCTCAGACTCATCACGGATATAATATAATGTGCCATGTCGAAATACGGGAACATTGGCAGTTTTGACAGCCCAAATGCGAGCTCGTTCAGATTGAAGAACGCAAACACATCCATAACTGAGCCGCTTCAGTGTTCCGTCATGAACGCGCTTTAATCCTGTCGGCCGCGCGCCCGTGGACTCGGTTCAGGTTACCGGTGTGTTTGGATGTTTGGTTTTGGACGCTTGTAGTCTGCAGATGCTCCGACACAGAATGAATCCAGCTGATCAACAGCTGACTGGAGCGGTAACCGGATCCGCCGCCATTACTGCTGCGGATGCTGAGCGGGAACGCGCGCGCGCGCGCGCACAAGCCACAACTTCACTTTCACAACTATTTCAAAACAAAGCTCTAGCAAACACTAGCCTGACACGTTATATTCTTAGTGTGGTACATTGAAAGTGCTGTAGTTCGTGATTTATGATGGTATTTATTAAAGCATCGGGCTTTCATTATCTGATTTAGACAGATTTCAGTTTGCTCTAAATTATAAACACTAAATTAAATAAGTCTGTAGGTCCAAACTGACCCCCCATGTGACAATCAGATGCTGAATGTGTTAGCAGACTGAACAAGAGCATAATGGTGAGCCTAATTTTAATAATACATCGACAAATACACATATAACACAATAAATAATGCACAAATCGACCTTTTGAGAAAACAGATTGGTCACTTCAGGTACAGCAGGTTATTATCAGTGGTGTAAAGAAACTAATAGCAAATACTCAAATTAAGCAAGCTAGTTTATTTATATAGCACATTTCATACACAGTGGCAATTCAAAGAGCTATACATAAACAAGAATAAAAAAGAAGTATGAGAAAATTAAAAAACAAGCAATAAAAATGATTAAAAACTGATTAAAGTGTGTTAAAACATGTTTTAAAAGAATGAAAAAAGAACAAGTAAATGGGTTTACTTTTAAAATTTACTTTTAAAGTTTTTTTTTAATTAAACTACTGTAATGGAGTGGGTTTTCTCAGGAATTGTAACTTACTAAGTAGTTTTGAAAGATACTTTTTACTAGTGCATTTTACTGCAGTATTGGTACTTTACTCCACTACTGTCCTTCAACCTGCAGTCACTACTGTTTTTTCCTGTCTATGGGGATTACAAAAATCAGTTCTGTGATGCCTGACAAATCAAATCACACATAAAAGGTAAATCTCCTCATAATGAACTACAGTAAGACATGGGCGATTTATAAATGCAGCAAACTGTTTGGAAGCATTAAAAGTGTCCAAGGAGATGTCCAAAATCTTTACACGCATTGACCCAGAGACTGTTTAGATCAGAGATGCCCAAATAAGGGCCCCCGGGCCAAAGTTGGCCCATTGTAACCTTTGATTTGGCCCACCATCCCATCTGAGAAGAAAGTGAGAAGGATGGAGAGGCTTGGGACAAATGCCTTTAAAAGAGATCGTCATTTCTAATTTGACGCAACCTTTTTTGTTTGTTTTATTGTTAAGCTACAAAAAAAAAAAAAAAACCCTAACTAAAATGAAATGTTTCAAGTAAATGAATCTATTTCTTTTATGTAAACAATGTCACTTGACAGAAAACTATACAAAAGACATCAGTAAGCAAATCAAGGCAAAAACTAGTGTAACTCTCCATTCTGCTATGAATTAGATTTAGAAACAAAATAGTAAAACAAATATGCTGTATTAGTTCAAATAAAGCAATGTTTTCTAGTTATTTTTAAATATTATTAAATAAGTTAGGAGGTTTCGTCCTCCATACAGAAATGACCTTTTCCATAATAAGAAAATTACTAATTAAACCTATATTTAAACTAATCATTTATTAATTTAAATAAGTTATATTAGCCTACGTTAAATGTAATCAATAATTCTAGAGAGAGGCAGAAGTAAACGAGAGAACACTTGAAAAGGAGATGAATGTAAAGTAATAAATGTAAACTGAAGATGCTCGCTTGTTTTCCTCAGAGAGCGACACCTGCCGGACACACGGGTCACAGCGTGAGGAGTGGAGCCGCAGTTCTCGCGAGATTCCACGATGTGGCGCCGTTGTCAAACTTATCGCCATGGAAACAAAAAGAGCGGGATTTTGTCTAAAACAAACGATGTTCCAAACCAGCGGTATGCGAGATATAAATATAAATCAGTAGATAAAACACTGTATCTGTGGGTAAGTGCAGTAATTAATCTAACAGGGGCCTTTATTCTGGACACGGTAATCTAGTAAATGTGTCAAACTCAATGAATGTTGTTGAAGAAAGCTTTTGAAAATCTGTGGCGACTAAAGCTTGTGAAAATATGAGAAAAATGTCAGCTAATCAGACAATCTGAGCTGGGTAACTCGGCTAATTAACCATTAAACCACACAAATCCTGAATACTGAGGTGAAAAGGGTTAATCTGGTTAATTATAGTTGACTGGGTTTGGTTTAGGTGGTTTAGTTGCCCTGAACTGAGGCATTTTTAATAGTTACAGGCCTGTAGCCAGCCTGGGGTGAAAGAGATGGTTCTGTTTTCTCAAGATGTCGACCTTTTTGCAGTTATTCGCCTCATTTTTTATTTATTTAGGACAGTGTTTCTCAAAATAAGTACCACCTCAGAAAAAAATAGTTTCTCCAAGTACCACCATAATAAACGGTATTAAAATACAGTAGCGTTAGCGTAGTTGGCCCAGTAAAGCAGCTACAGCTCTGCACAGTTCAAAAATGAGTCACATTAATTCCTATTATTAAGAATATTTATTATTGTCAGCCACTTTAAACATTAGAAATAGTTTGCACATTAGCACTGTACTGTGCTTATACAGTTGAAGTCCGAATTATTAGCCCCCCTGAATTATTAGCGCCCGTTTATTTTTTCCCCAATTTCTGTTTAACGGAGGGAAGATTGTTTCAGCACATTTCTAAGAATAATAGTTTCAAAAACTTATTTCTATTAACTGATTTATTTTATCTTTGTCATGATGACAGTAAATAAGATATTTTTAAAATATTTTTCAAGACACTTCTATACAGCTTAAAGTGACATTTAAAGGCCTCAGTAGGTTAATTAGGTTAACTTGGCAGGTTAGGGTAATTAGGCAAGTTATTGTATAATGATGGTTTGTTCTGAAGATTATCGGGGGGGAAATTAGCTTAAAGGGGCTTGTAATTTTGTCCCAAAAAAGGGTTTTAAAAAATTAAAAACTTCTTTTATTCTTGCTAAAATAAAACAAATAAGACTTTCTCCAGAAGAACAAATATTATCAGACACACTGTGAACATTTCCTTGCTCTGTTAAAAATCATTTGGGAAATATTTAAAAGAGAAAAAAAAAAATCAAAGGGGGCGAATAATTCTGACTTGAATCAATCAATCAAGCCTTTATTTGTCACTGCACTTTCATATAGACTCAGAATTGTTTTATTTAAAAAAAAAAAATTTATGAAGACATTTTATGTATTGTTTTTCACATATATATAAAAGTTTATATATAACACGTATATATAAAAGTTATATAAAATATTTATATATAACACGTATATATAAAAGTTATATAAAATATTTATATATACACGTGTATATAAAAGTTTTTAGTGTTTTTATATTCTCAAATATGATCATCCCAGTGAAAAAAACACTGAAAAGGTATGTATCTGTATACTTTTATATGCATGAAAAACAAAATTTCAT